TGAAGTGAAATATATATATATATATAAAACAAGCAGACAAAAATATTATGTTTTGTCCCACTAGGCCAAACCGGGGACAGTACCCTACTGGTTTGGTAGTAGCCAGATAACCACATGATTTAACAGTGAACCTGGGACTCATGGGGCCTGTTCTGTAGGTGGGCTATCTGATGCTAGGTGGTATTTCAGCTTTCCCAATGCTGCAGAATATAAACACAGCACGTCTATATTTATTTTGAAAGATACTGTACAACCGGAAGTTAGTTTTTATTTTGTCTGGCTTGACAGTGGCTACAGCCAGCGGACTGAGGAGGATGTCGACCGCGCTGCGCGGACAAGCGCCGGGCAGAATGTCTGTGTCCATTGGGCTGTTTCTCGCCTATTCGCCCCGCACCTGCAGCCCTCGGCGCCCATGAAACCCCCGCTGATGAAGCCCCGAGCTGCCAGCGTGAGGCGGAAAGCGGCTGGAGCCAGAGAGCATGTACTGGCGCGTCGGGTTCGCCTGGACGCGGTCGTGTGTGGTTGATCTTGGCCAGAACCAGAGTTTCTCCTCTGGCCTGCTGGGCTCCGATGAGCAGCTCTCGTTTTATGGGTACATCATCGCCTACCCACTGCAGGACTACGGCGGGATAATGTCAGCTCTGGGCTCGGACTCGTGGTGGCGGAAAACGCTGTATTTGACTGGAGGGGCTCTGCTCGCTGCCGCTGCTTATTTGCTGCACGAATTGCTGGCCATCAGGTACCAACAACAACAGATACTGTCAGAGGAGTCAGTTGAAGCTGCAGAGCTCATCTCTTCCCTCAGTCAGGCCTTTCGGGCCAGAGCACGGTCGGTCAGAAAACCGCTGTGGGCCTTATTCTGTTCATATTTTCTTTCCAGTGCTCCAGAGTGTTTTTCCTTCACTGGGGGTTGATATTCGTTAATCTTATAAGGTTGGGCGGGGTAGGAGCGTTGTTGTGACCCCCTCCCCCCGCCCCACCGTGTAAAGCATTGCAGTTATGGTTTTAAAAAAGCCTTTTACACACTCAAATACAAATACAGTACATCAAAGCCATAAACATTCTGATCTTCAGTTTGCCGGGAAGTGGAAATGTGACAAATGTAAACGTATTTACATTCATTATTATTGATTATTCATTGAATGAATGTTTAACTGATTGAGTCTGTTGTCCTTGAAAGATAATCTCGTGTTACACGCGGTCCAAGATCATTGTTGACAAATGGCATGCCCATTCTAGTAATGCAACATAATTTAAAAATGACACCTAATATCAAAATAAAAGCCATGTGGAGACTTCGATTTATGTTTGGTGTCGATCGGGAAATCAAAAGTGATCCTGGCTTAACTGTCGAGTCGATCTTTATGTTAAACACATAAAGATTGAAAAACATTGTTTGCAGTGCGGTGAACTACTCTGTTGGATGGAGTTCTTCCCGACTGAATGCCCAGCTTTCTCTATCCGCAAGAGGTTGTTTTTGCCCATTCTGTCTCTCTGTATTCACTTCCTTTTACTACTCCGTCGTACCTTTGTGTTTAATAGAAAGCATTTCCTAGTTACTGCAATAAAAACAGCCTCAGAGGCGGCGGGCGTTTCAGCACCACTGTACCATGGACAGCTCCTCTGCCCTGAGGCTGCTGTTGTTTTTCACCGTTCAGCACTTTTCGCAGTGGACAGCTCCCTGCGATTCTGCGTCGTGCGCGCCTGAATTCGTTGCTATTTGCAGGCCCGTGCTCGTTCGTGAGGAACCCTGCTATCTCCGGCAGTGTCCGTGTGGATGCATCAGAAGAGTATGCTTTGTTATTTTGACACTGCAGTTTTTTTCTTGGCTGGTATAAATGGCCCACGGCTGACAGTCGCTCAGGGTCAGATAAAGGACCTTCATGGTGACCTTGATGTTTAAATTATTCATTCAGTTTTATGATTGTCTAGTCCACCTATTACACACACACACACAACCTGTATTTATCATAGTACACTTGTGTTATCTTAGGATAACTGGAAACAGAAGTAATTCTGGAGTCTTTTCATCTTCAGTGTGAGGTTGAAACCATATTTTGTCATTTTTCTACCTCAGGTTGTGTACAGATTAAACAAGACACAGTATAAAATGTCAAGTGGTTAGGTTTAGAGGTGAACTTTGTTAACATTAGACAGTGCCAGGCTATCTGTTTACTCCAGTCTTACTGCTAAAGAGTATATCACAAATCTTTGAATTATTCCTTTTAGGTTACTACAACCAGTACAGCTGGAATACACCTCAATTTTTGTTGGTTTGTCGTTAAACAGTTTTATTTAAGAATGTGGACCAAGTATGACTGTGAACAGATTTACATCCTCACAACATCACTAATACAAGTATACATACACAATCGCCTTCTTCCTGATGTTCAGATTCCCCCTCCTTTGCTCCACACAGGAAGGAGGAAGAGCTGGACTCTAAAGATGCCATCATACTCCACCAGTTCTCCAGACCCAAAACTGGCGCCCCATCCCTGTCCCCTTTCTGCCTTAAGATGGAGACCTACCTCCGCATGGTGGACCTGCCCTATCAGGTAAAGCTGTGGTTGTGACTGCGATCCTTCATCTGATTTTTTTTTTAATTGTCTTGACAACTGAGTGTGATGTGTGGCTAAATCCTATTTTTCCTGCTCTGGCTGCAACTACTTCTGTTGTCAGTAATTACTATCCAACCCTGAGCCTCTGCTGCTACAGTCACTCAGTTTGATGAAAGGGGTAATTAAATGGTTATTTAAATGTTTTGTCTTGAGTCACTTTCCATTGAATTGACCTTACACCACTTACCAATGACTTTCTTTGTTCTGTATTTTAAACATCTTGGCTAAAAAGATTTTGCTTTTCCTCCTCCTTTCCTCTTCTTTCTGAACCTCTTTGGATACATGCCCTTGGCTTTCCTGGTTCCTTTCTCTTCTGCAGAACTACTTTGATGGGAAGCTTTCACCACAGGGAAAGATGCCGTGGATTGAGTACAACCAGGAGCGGGTGTGTGGCACCGAATTCATCATCAACTTCCTGGAGGAGAGATTGGGCGTGAGCCTCAACAAGAGCCTGACACCGCAGGAGAAGGCCATTTCTCGTGCCATCACCAAAATGGTGGAGGAACATTTCTACTGGTGAGAGACCACTGAAGTTCAAACTGCCTTTTGTAGCATAACAACAATGGAGATTGCTTAATAGGAGTGGAAGGAGGAAAGTGTGAGCAGAAGAATGTATTAGACAGAGCATTTTAAAATACATTTCTGGGAAGTTTAACTACACCACTCCAATAGTTGTATTAATCATTAGATGTGTGTATTTGTGTGTGTACAAATGTGTGTGTCCCAGGACCATAGCTTACTGCCAGTGGGTGGACAACCTGGAGGAGACTCAGAAGATGCTGTCGGTGAGCGGGCCGCTGAGTGACCTACTCAAGTGGATCCTGAGTCACCTTACCGGGGGGATTATCAAGAGGGAGATGTATGGTCACGGGATCGGGCGGTTCTCTAAGGAGGAGGTTTATGCTCTGATGGAGAAGGACATGCGGACCCTGGCCACCTTACTAGGTGACAAATCTTAAATGGATTTTTAACTGATAAGTGACAGTGCTCATCATATGAAAGACTAGAATCTGTTGTGACATATTTTTAGGATCTATTGCGATCAAATGTGGAGATTAAGTATGTTTTGTAGAAAGGCATATGAGTTAACTCAAATAATCCAGTCATTTTAGCCATATGAAAGTTTCCAGTACTGCACAT